TCAGAGCGTTCCAAAGTGTGTTGTGACACATTCATCTGCCATAAGACGTGACCCCCCGCCTATAGAACACACTCCCAAATGAGGTAAGATCTGCTCCCTCCCACCTGGCTTTTAGAAAAAAATTAAAATCATGGTTCTGGTACTAGGCCTTCAGACTGTAGACGTATGTAGCATTTTAGAGGGATGTTGACTGGAACGGCAATTTGACTGACGAAACCGTTTTATTGTTTTAATGCTTGTTGATGTATTATTTTAATTGTAATTTATGTTTAATTGTGGTTTTACTATTGTACTTGTTTGTATTGGCATCGTATCGGTGCCCAACGAAAGGCATTGAATCTTGCCATTATTTATGTGTAAACCGCTTTTTGCCCCGGTGAAGGGAGTTGGGACTGGATGGCCTTAAGTATTTTCTATTGCTCATGGGGGTTCTGTGTGGGAAGTTTGCCCCAATTCTGTAATTGGTGAGGCTCTTTGATTGTTGGTGAACTATAAATCCCAGCAACTACAACTCCCAAATGTCAAGGTCTATTTCCCCAAATTCCATCTGTGTTCATATTTGGGCATATGGAGTATTCGTGTCAAGTTTGGTCTAGATCCTGGATGTAGGTAAACTACAACTCCCAAACTCAAGGTCAATGCCCACCAAATCCTTGTGTTTTCTATTGGTCATGGGAGTCCTGTGTGCCACATTTGGTTCAATTCCATCGTTTGGTGGGGTTCAGAATGTTCTTTGATTGTAGGTGAACTATACATCCCAGCAACTACAACTCCCAAATGACAAAATCAATTTTTTGAGTGAAGGACATACATTGGGTTGTTAGGTGTATGCCGTCCAAATTTGGTGTCAATTCATCCATGGTTTTTGAGTTCTGTTAATCCCACAAACGAGCATTACATTTTTATTTATATACTAGATGTACCCGCCATGCTTGGCTGTGGCCAACCTTCCCTCTTTCCCTTCTTCCTTCACTCCTTCTTTCCTTCCTTCCTTCCTTCCTTCCTTCCTGTCATTCCTTCTCTTCTTCCTTCTTTCTCTATCTCTTTCCTTCCCCCTTTTTCTTTCTCTTCTCTACATCGTCCCACTTTACTTCCTTCTTTCCTTTTTTCCTTTCCTTCTCTAAGTTTCCTTCCTTTCCCTTCTTCTTTCCCTCCCTCTTTCTCTCCTTCCTTCCTTCTCCCCTTTCTTCTTTCTTTCCCTCCCTCTTTCTTCCATTTTTTCTGTATTGTCATTTACCTTTTCATCATTTAGCTTTTTTGGTGCTTTTTAAGTCCCTTCTGCTGTGTTTTTCAGTGTTTTTATGAGTGAAGAACATACATTGGGTTGTTAAGTGTATTGTGTCCAAATTTGGTGTCAATTCCCCCAGTGGTTTTTGAGTTCTGTAATCCCACAAACGAACATTACATTTTTATTTATATAGATTGCTATTATATTAATATAGTAGTATAGGGGGGAGGGGGGCTTGAGGGGCTTCAGCCCCCCCCCCGAATTCTCATGGTGGTTCGCAAAAAGGCCTTACTGGTGCATTATTTAAACTGTTATGTTTATTCATATCATGATCTGATCACCATACTCAATATATCCCATATGCATGGGGGTATTGGGGTAACGATACAAAAGGTTGGAGCCCCCAGTGGCGCAGTGGGTTAAAGCACTGGGCTGCTGAGCTTGTTGATCGAAAGGTTGCAGGTTCGATTCTGGGGAACGGCGTGTGCTTCCACTGTCAGCCCTAGCTTCTGCCAATCTAGCAGTTCGAAAACATGCAAATGTGAGTAGATCAATAGGTACCGCTCCGGTGGGAAGGCAACAGTGCTCCATGCAGTCATGCCGGCCACATGACCTTGGAGGTGTCTACGGACAACCCTGATTGGATTGCAATCATTACATATCCTACACCCCTGTGGATTTTTATTGGTTTTATTGTAACTCAGTTGCAGGGCCGTAGCCAGAAAATTTTTTGGGGAGGGGTTGAAATTTTCGCAGGGGGGGTTGAAACCTGCCTCCTAGCTCACGCTGAAGTAAAGAGCACAGCAGAGGGCAGAGCAGCCTTCCATAGCCTGCAGCTCTGCGCCTGTCAACCACCTCCACCAAGTCTGGCCTCCTTAATGAGAACATTCAACACACACACACCCAACTTGGTTGCTTCACTACATCGGCTATTGCTGCAAGTAATGACAGTGTGAATAAATTGTCAACATTTGCCTGAGATAGTGCTTGCAGTTCTGGAGGGACTCTTAATTTTTTGCATCTCATAGACTTAGCATGGGGATTTGGCTAACCAGTTAAAATTCATGAGTAAACCAGGTTTTTTAAAAAATCTGAAACATTTCCGGGGGGGGGGGGGTTGAACCCCTAACCCCCCCCCCTCGCTACAGGCCTTCTCAGTTGTATGGTGTGCTTATGTTTTGTTGTTGTACACTCCTTGACATGAGCAGCGGCATGAAAATATATTAAGATATCAAGATGAATGGTGCTCCATGTGATCATGCTGGCCACATGTCCTTGGAGGTGTGTACGGACAATGCCGGCTCTTCGGCTTAGAAATGGAGATGAGCACCACACCCCAGAGTCAGACATGACTGGACTTAATGTCAGGGGACTACCTTTACCTTTACAAAAGGTTTGCTAGGGTAGACCCTCTTTCACTCAGACTCAGCCCCCCCCCCGAATCAAAATCCTGGCTACGGGCCTGATCCCAGGACTGGGCCAGCTTAAGCAGCTGAGGGGGGGGGAGAGGAAAGGGCCCGAGGTGGTTAGGAATGGTGGGAGTTGAAGTCCAAAACACCTGAAGGGAAGGTCCAAGCTGGCCCAGGCCTGTGATACACAATACTGCTGTGTTGATGGGCTTAAGTGGCTGAGGGGGAAAAGAAAGGGCCCGAGGGGGTTACGAATGGTGGGAGTTGAAGTCCAAAACAACTGGAGGGAAGGCCCAAGCTGGCCAAGGCCTGTGATACACAATACTGCTGTGTTGATGGGCTTAAGTGGCTGAGGGGGGGGGGGGGAAGGAAAGGGCCTGAGGCTGTTAGGAATGGTGGGAGTTGAAGTCCAAAACACCCGGAGGGCCCAAGTCCACCCATGCCTGGTGTGTTGTTGTTGTTCATTTGTTCAGTCGTCTCCGACTCTTCGTGACCTCATGGACCAGCCCACGCCAGAGCTCCCTGTCGGCCGTCACCACCCCCAGCTCCTTCAAGGTCAGTCCAGTCACTTCAAGGATGCCATCCATCCATCTTGCCCTTGGTCGGCCCCTCTTCCTTTTGCCTTCCACTTTCCCCAGCATAAATGTCTTCTCTAGGCTTTGCTGTCTCCTCATGATGTGGCCAAAGTACTTCAACTTTGTCTCTAGTATCTTTCCCTCCAGTGAGCAGTCGGGCTTTATTTCCTGGAGGATGGACTGGTTGGATCTTCTCGCAGTCCAAGGCACTCTCAGAACTTTGCTCCAACACCACAGCTCAAAAGCATCGATCTTCCTTCGCTCAGCCTTCCCTAAGGTCCAGCTCTCACATCCGTAGGTTACTACAGGGAATACCATGGCTTTGACTAGGCGGATCTTTGTTGTCAGTCTGATGTCTCTACTCTTTACTATTTTATTGAGACTTGACATTGCTCTCCTCCCAAGAAGTAAGCGTCTTCTGATTTCCTGGCCACAGTCTGCATCTGCAGTAATCTTTGCGCCTAGGAATACAAAGTCTAGGTTCTTGTGGGTTTTTTCGGGCTATAGAGCCATGTTCTAGATGCATTTCTCCTGACGTTTCGCCTGCATCTATGGCAAGCATCCTCAGAGGTAGTGAGGTCTGTTGGAATAGGACAATGGGTTTATATATCGTGGAATGGCTGGGGTGGGGCAAAGAGCTCTCTGCTGAAGCTAGGTGTGAATGTTTCAGCTGATCACCTTCATTAGCATTTGAAGGCCTGGCTGTGCCTGGGAAAATGTTCTGTTGAGAGGTGTTAAGATGTGCCTGGTTGTTTCCTCTCTGCTGTTTTGCTGTTGTAATTTTAGAGGAAAGGGCCTGAGGCTGTTAGGAATGGTGGGAGTTGAAGTCCAAAACACCTGGAGGGAAGGCCCAAGCTGGCCAAGGCCTGTGATACACAATACTTTTGTACTGATGGGCTTAAGTGGCTGAGGAGGAAAAGGAAAGGGCCCAAGGGGGTTAGGAATGGTGTGAGTTGAAGTTCAAAACACTTGGAGGGCCCAAGTTTACCCATGCCTGGTTTAGACCCAATATAATACAGCGTAACTCCGAACGCATCTCCTCCTATGAACTGACTAGGACTTTAAGATCGTCTGGGGAGGCCCTGCTCTCGGTCCCGCCTGCATCGCAGGTGCGGTTGGCGGGGACGAGGGACAGTGCCTTCTCGGTGGTGGCCCCTTGACTGTGGAATGCCCTACCTGTGGACATCAGACAGGCCCCTTCACTGCTGGCATTCCGGAGGAAGGTCAAGACTTGGCTTTACGAACAAGCGTTTGGCTAAATAGTGCAATGAATACATGAAGATGGTACAACCGAACATAGGAATTGGTATAAGGATTATGATTACGGACTCTGATTCTGATTTGTTTGCTGAGGCTTATGATAATGATTGTTTTGATTTGGTATATTTTGTATAATGTGTTTTTAATTGTCTTTTTGATACTGTTGTGATAACCTTTACGATGTAAACCGCCTTGAGTCGCCATTTCGGCTGAGAAAGGCGGTATAGAAGTAAAGCAAATAAATAAATAATAAATAAAACACCCGGAGGGCCCAAGTTCACCCATGCCTGGTGTAGACCCGATATAATACTGCGTCCAATGAGTCCTGCACTGCCCACAATGACGCCCAAACTATTTCGAGGGCGAACAGCAGGCTACTTCCGAGTGTTACATAGTACCTGCAGCGGCGTTGTATAACCAGGCGGCACCGCGCATGCGCACACTCCCGGGGGAAAAGAGAGATTTAGAAGCGGGGGGGGGCGGCTTGCTTACATAAAGTAAAAAGATGAGGGAAGGGCTGCCACTCACCTCCAGCGGTTGATGCCGACGTTGGAAGAGCCGGCGAACCAGGGGTCGAGGATGTAGACGCAGCGGACGGTGTCGGCCCCTTGGATGACCTCCCTCAGGGCCGGGTTGTCATGGAGACGGAGCCCCTTGCGGAACCAGTGCACCGCGTTCACCCCCATCGTCGCCGGAGAAGAAGAAGCAGAAGAGGACGGTTACAGCCGAGGAGCGTGGCTCAAGTCGAAGCCAAGCTCATGCCGCCGCTGAGCGGGGAAGAAGAAGAAGAAGAAGAGGGCCAAGAAGCGACGAGGTACCGCTTTAAGATCCCGTGGAAGCAGCGGCCGCGGCGGTGGAAGCAGCGGCGACGGTGTTGGGGGCGAAACGCATCCCTCTCGGATTGTTTTCCTTCCTCAGCGCCCCGCCTGGGTTTCCAAACTGCCGCCCCCTCCCTCTCCTCCTCCTCTTCCACTCTCTATTCCTAATTAATTCCCTCTAATAGCCGTTTTTTTCTCCTCAGAGGAAAGAAGAACGAAGGGAAAATAACCCAACTTCCTTCCTTCCTTGCCACCCGCCCTGTGACTCGAGGCAACTCGTCCCAACGACGGAAGCCGCCAAGCTCCGCCCTTCCTCGCCCCTGATTGGCCACCCCCTCACCACGTGACCGGGGGCGCCTCACGTTTCTGAAATGTGTTTTTCCTGCCTCGTGGAGGGAGAGGGATTGTTATGCAGGTCTTCTTATCTATGTAACTAATGAGATTGCCGTACAGGATGGTATAATACAATATAGTAATATATAATACCAATATTGTGCTATGCTAATAGTAATACACTATATTATTTATACACTTTATTATGTATAATAGGCAAATAATAATAATAATACACTTATGTATAATAGAAATGATACATAATAAAGTGTATAAATAATATATAATATAAAGTCTATTATTATTAGCCTATTATACATAATAAAGTGTATAAATAATATAAAGTCTATTGTTAATATTAGCATAGCACAATATTATATATAGTATATCATTTTTATTATATATAAAGTATAAATAATATATAGTGTATTATTAGCATAGCACAATATTATATTATACATAATAAAGTATATTAGTAATATAGAGTGTATTATTATTAGCCTATTATACATAATAAAATGTATAAATAATATACAATGTATTATTAGCCTGTTATACATAATGTATAACATTATTGAGGGCCCCCGGTGGCACAGTGGGTTAAAGCACTGAGCTGCTGAGCTTGTTGATCGAAAGGTCGCAGGTTCGATTCCGGGGAGCGGCGTGAGCTTCCGCTGTCAGCCCTAGCTTCTGCCAACCTAGCAGTTCGAAAACATGCAAATGTGAGTAGATCAATAGGTACCGCTCCGGCGGGAAGGTAACGGCGCTCCATGCAGTTATGCCGGCCACATGACCTTGGAGGTGTCTACGGACAACGCTGGCTCTTCAGACTTAGAAATGGAGATGAGCACCAACCCCCAGAGTCAGACATGACTGGACTTAATGTCAGGGGACTACCTTTATCTTTATACATAATGTAGTGTATAAATAATATAAAGTGTATTATTATTATTATTAGCACGTGTGGACCATAATGACGGATCTTGCTAAAGATCGATGCTTTTGAGCTGTGGTGTTGGAGGAAAGTTCTGAGAGTGCCTTGGACTGCGAGAAGATCCAACCAGTCCATCCTCCAGGAAATAAAGCCCGGCTGCTCACTGGAGGGAAGGATACTAGAGACAAAGCTGAAGTACTTTGGCCACATCATGAGGAGACAGCAAAGCCTAGAGAAGACAATTATGCTGGGGAAAGTGGAAGGCAAAAGGAAGAGGGGCCAACCAAGGGCAAGATGGATGGATGGCATCCTTGAAGTGACTGGACTGACCTTGAAGGAGCTGGGGGTGGTGACGGCCGACAGGGAGCTCTGGCGTGGGCTGGTCCATGAGGTCACGAAGAGTCGGAGACGACTGAACGAATGAACAACAACATTATTATTAGCATAGCACGATATTATATATAAATAGTGTATCATTCTTATTATACATAATAAAGTGTATAAGTAATATAAAGTGCATTACTATTATTATTTGCCTATTATACATAATAAAGTGTATAAATGATATAATGTATTATTATTAGCATAGTACAATATTATATATAAATAGTCTTTATATTATTTATACACTTTATTATGTATCATTTCTATTATAATAAAAATGATACACTATTTATATATAATATTGTGCTATGCTAATAATACATTTTATATTATTTATACACTTTATTATTTATAATTGGCTAATAATATGCATTATATATTAGTTATACACTTTATTATGCATAATAAACATGATACACTATTTATATATAATATTATGCTATGCTAATAATAATACACTTTATATTATTTATACTAATAATATAGCATAGCACAATATTATATATAAATAGTATATCATTTTGTTATGCATAATAAAGTGTATAAATAATATAAAGTGTATTATTATTAACCAATTATACATAATAAATTGGTTAATAATAATACACTTTATATTATTTATACACTTTATTATGCATAACAAAATGATATACTATTTATATATAATATTGTGCTATGCTAATAATAATACACTTTATATTATTTATATTTGTTGTTCATTCGTTCAGTCGTCTCCGACTCTTCGTGACCTCATGGACCAGCCCACGCCAGAGCTCCCTGTCGGCCGTTACCACCCCCAGCTCCCTCAAGGTCAGTCCAGTCACTTCAAGGATGCCATCCATCCATCTTGCCCTTGGTCGGCCCCTCTTCCTTTTGCCTTCCACTTTCCCCAGCATAATTGTCTTCTCTAGGCTTTGCTGTCTCCTCATGATGTGGACAAAGTACTTCAACTTTGTCTCTAGTATCTTTCCCTCCAGTGAGCAGTCGGGCTTTATTTCCTGGAGGATGGACTGGTTGGATCTTCTCGCAGTCCAAGGCACTCTCAGAACTTTCCTCCAACACCACAGCTCAAAAGCATCGATCTTCCTTCGCTCAGCCTTCCCTAAGGTCCAGCTCTCACATCCGTAGGTTACTACAGGGAATACCATGGCTTTGACTAGGCGGATCTGTGTTGCCAGTCTGATGTCTCTACTCTTTACTATTTTATCGAGATTGGACATTGCTCTCCTCCCAAGAAGTAAGCGTCTTCTGATTTCCTGGCCACAGTCTGCATCTGCAGTAATCTTTGCACCTAAAAATACAAAGTCTGTCTCTGCCTTCACGTTTTCTCCCTCTATTTGCCAGTCATCAATCAGTTTTGTTGCCATAATCTTGGTTTTTTGGTTTTTTTTACGTTTAGCTGCAACCCGGCTTTTGCGCTTTCTTCTTTCGCCTTGATTAGAAGGCTCCTCAGCTCCTCCTCGCTTTAGGCCATCAGAGTGGTGTCATCTGCATATCTGAGGTTGTTAATGTTTCTTCCAGCAATTATTTATATACTATTATGTATAATAAAAATGATATACTATATATATAATATTGTGCTATGCTAATAATAATACACTTTATATTATTTATACACTTTATTGTGTATAATAGGCTTATAATAATAATACACTTTATATTACTAATATACTTTATTATGTATAATAAAAATGATACGCTATTTATATATAATATTGTGCTATGCTAATAATACATTTATATTACTTATGCACTTTATTATGTCTAATTGGCTAATAATAATAATAATATACACTATATATTATTTATACACTTTATTATGCATAATTAAATGATACACTATTTATATATAATATTGTGCTATGCTAATAATAATACAGTTTATATTATTTATACACTTTATTATGTATAATAGGCAAATAATAATAACAATACACTTTATATTATTTATACACTTTATTGTGTATAATAAAAATGATATACGATATAATTGTGCTATTCTAATAATAATACACTTTATATTATTTATACACTTTATTATGTATAATAGGCTAATAATAATACACTTTATATTACTTATACACTATTATGTATAATAAAAATGATACATTATATATAATATGCTATGCTAATAATAATACACTTTATTTATAATATATTGTATTTACATCTAATATTGATAATAATATAATGTAATACAAAATATTTATTTATTTATAGCATCTTTTCAGCCCAAAGGCAACTCAGGGCGGCATACAGATTGGCAATAATTAGATGCCATAAACATACATACATACATATCAATTAAAAACATCTAATATCACATAATAAAAATCCATATAAAAATCAATTAAAACTATAATAATTAATGTGTACCAGTTCAACTCCTTAGCCATTTGCATTGTCTAATAATAATAATAATAATAAAGCCTGAAAAATTTACAGGTGTATATATGTGTGTGTATATATATTTGTGTGTGTATATGTGTACATGCATATTGTGTACATATATGTGCTTGTCTATATGCATATTTGTGTGTATATATGTATGTGGATATGTATGTGTATGCATGTGTATATGTCTATATGTATGTGTGCATGTATATGTGCATGTGTATATGTATATATATGTTTGTATGAATGTGTGCATGTGCATGAGTGTATGTGTATATATAGGGTGTATTTGGGGGTATTTAAGTCTGTTCCACTGGGGTTTTGTGCGTGTGTGTTTATGGGTGATGGACACTCATTGGACTATTAGGTGTATTGTGTCCAAATTTCGTGTCAATTGGTCCAGTGGTTTTTGAGTTATGTTAATCCCACAAACAAACATTAAATTTTGATTTATATAAGACTAGCAGTCTCCTGCCATGCCTTGCTGTGGCCCACTCTGGTGGTCATGGGGGTTCTGTGTGGGAGGTTTGGCCCAATCAGTGAGGTTCAGAATGCTCTTTGATTGTAGGTGAAATATTAAATCCCAGCAACTGCAACTCCCAAATGTCAAGATTCTATTTTCCCCAAACTCCACCAGTGTTCACATGTGGGCATATTGAGTATTCGTGCCAAGCTTGGTCCAGGCCCACCATTGTTTGAGCCCACAGTGCTCTCTGGATGTAGGTGAACTACAACTCCAAAACCAAAGGACACTGCCCACCAAACCCTTCCAGTATTTTCTGTTGCTCATGGGTGCCAAGTTTGGTTCAATTCCATCATTGGTGGGGTTCAGAATGCTCTTTGATTGTAGGTGAACTATAAATCCCAGAAACAACTCCCAAATGACAAAATCATTTTTTGAGTGAAGGACATACATTGGATTGTAAGGTGTCTTGTGTCCAAATTTGATGTCAATTCGCCCAGTGGTTTTTGAGTTCTGTTGATAGATAGATAGATAGATAGATAGATAGATAGATAGATAGATAGATAGATAGATAGATAGATAGATAGATAGATAGATAGATAGATATCCCCTTTTATCTCTCCATAAGCATGAAACCATAAGGGGAGGGGATAAATAACAAGATTCCAGAGAAAGGCGGGGTCTGTTGAAGCCACGCCCCTTTTGCACGGAGAAGTACCCGGATAAGCACGGGGCTTCCATGGAAAGAGTTTTTTTTTTCCTCCAAGTTTTGAGAGCCAATAGGAAGCGGG